AGGCAGATAAATTTTAAACCCCTTGCGTGATTTTATGAACAAAAAAGGTATACGGGTTGGGTAAATTTAAGACAGCTATTCCCATTTTGACACAAAAAGGGTTTGCTGTAGGCATTCAGGCATGCACCAGGGTTTTTGGCAAGGGAGAGTTTTTTGGGTAGCCTTTTAAAAACCCTTTGGTTACCCCTGTTTGATGTCTTTGCCAAAGGGAATCTATCCCCTTTTGAGAACTTTCAATACAATTAAGTAAAAAAACTACACAAAAAAAAAAGTTTAGACCCCTTATTTTGAGCTTTGGAAAGAACTAAACGGTTTCATACAGGAGTAAAGGAAACGTAGCTTGGACAGGGCACACTTGGGAAAACCTGAAAACTTATAACTAGAATGTTTTTGCACGGGCCCCCACGGGGGCTAGAAAAAAACACCCAAAAAAAATCAAAAGGAATTAGATAGCAAATTAAAAAGATGGAGAGGACATGGAGTGAACTTAATACAATAGCAAAGGATAGGGACAACTTGCGTGGGTTGGTTGAGGGCCTATGCGGCATTAAGATACAAGGGCAGACAAAGAAGAAGAAATAATGATCTACTTGATCACACAAGGTTGTATTGTGTTTGGCTTGGTCTCTCTTGGCAGATTGACCTGATGAGAGTGCCTCATTAAGCTTAACCATTTCACCTCTGATTATGTTTATGACTTACTTTATATTGATGTCTGTAACACAGTCTCTGCTACACTAAACTTAACCATTTCCCCTCTGATTATGTTTAATGACTTACTTTGTACTGCATGTCTGTAACACAGTCTCTGCTACCACTAAACTAACCATTTCACCTCTGATTATGTTATGGACTACTTTATATTGATGGTCTCGTAAACACACTTTGCTACACTAACCACTAAGCTTAACCATTTCACCTCTGATTATATTTATGACTTACTTTATATTGATGTCTGTAACACAGTCTCTGCTACACTAAACTTAACCATTTCACCTCTGATTATGTTTATGACTTACTTTATATTGATGTCTGTAACACAGTCTCTGCTACACTAAACTTAACCATTTCACCTCTGATTATTTTTACAACTTACTTTGTATTGATGTCTGTAACACAGTCTCTGCTACACTAAACTTAACCATTTCACCTCTGATTATTTTTACAACTTACTTTATATTGATGTCTGTAACACAGTCTCTGCTACACTAAACTTAACCACTTCACCTCTGATTATATTTATGACTTACTTTGTATTGATGTCTGTAACACAGTCTTTGCTACACTAACCACTAAGCTTAACCATTTCACCTCTGATTATGTTTATGACTTACTTTATATTGATGTCTGTAACACAGTCTCTGCTACACTAAACTTAACCATTTCCCCTCTGATTATTTTTACAACTTACTTTATATTGATGTCTGTAACACAGTCTTTGCTACACTAAGCTTAACCATTTCACCTCTGATTATATTTACGACTATGTTGATGTCTGTAACCCAGTCTTCTATCATCCCGGATGCAGATGTACAGCCGTCACCTTATTGTGCATACAAGCTTCTAGATTTCCCTGACAATGACACCATCATCATTCGCAATTCCAACAATCCAGAATTCAACGACCACAAAATCTACAGCATTCCTGTGACATTTGAACTTGACCAGTATCTCCGTACTTCTGTAAGGATTTAATTTTTTAAATTTCTTTCCTTTTTTTTTTTACTTCAACATGAGAAGAAATTAATTAATAGTATATTTGCTCGAAAAAGACAGGACATGTGTAAGATAACTTACTCTGCATAATGTAATTTTCTACTTCTTTTCTTCCTCGTTATCCTCCTCCCCCCTTCTTCTTCCTTCTTATTTCCTCTAAGGAAGCAAATCCTCAGCCAACTGCATAGACTCTGTAACTGCTGGAATTCTGTAGTTAGTCGAGCAGAAGGTGTTGGCAACTAAAACACCTCATGTTCAACCACTTTAATTGTTGGAAATTGTACAATAATCATAGACTACTGCTACCCTTGCTAATGTTATTTTTAAATAATTAAAAAAATTAATGTAAAAATATCATTGTAATAATTTTTTTTTTTTAATGTTGAATTAAGAATTGAATTCATAGCACTCGAGACACTTCCATAAGCGCTTCATTTCCATCTTCAGCAGCAATCGAAGAGTTCCAGTTCTGATGGCACCAGTAACTGTCCGATTATACATCTGTCTCGCCTTTCCCTTGAGTGTTGAGCATCGGCCAGATCCCCTGGTAACTCCCCGCAGTGCCATTTTCCTCAGACCGTAATGATCTATTGGTGCTTCCTCGCTGTTCACTCGCTCCCAGAGGACCCTCACAACATCCAGCTTGTCATACATCAGTTCACCACCAAGTGGTGCAGAACCAGCCAGTCTGTCTGCCTGCTCATTTCCCAACACACCGGCATGACCTGGAGAAAATATCCAAAGGTTGCTAACTACTCGAGACCTCTGAAGTGATGCTTGCCACTCTGCATGGAGCATACCTGTCAACCACCTTTCTCAAAATCCTCTGTGTCAGTTACAATGTAGCAAAAGGCAACAGTGACTGCCTTTACCTCCATTCTCAAGCTATACATTGTGATATCATATGCCAGGCTTTGTTGCACCAAGCGACGTCCATTCGCCTTCGCTATGAACTCCCATGCACTTCGTCTACCCCTCACAACAGAGCCATCTGTAAATAAAATCACATCACTTGGGCGGGAATTGTCATGAATCATTTGTTGAACTTCTGATTCTACAGAACCAGCTGGCCAGTCCCTACACTCATGAGCAAAAATGATTAGAACCCTACTTAAGTCTTATTCTTGCTCAAAAACTTTGACCCCCTCCTCTCCTCGCCTAAATGTATCAAACCTGCACATAAGTCTGATTCTTTGCTCAAAAACTTTGACCCCCTCCTCTCCTCGCCTAAATGTATCAAACCTGCACATAAGTCTAATTATGTTGTCAGCTTGTACCATCCAAGACCTTACTACTTTTCACTCTGTGACTTTAAGCTCTACCCATGGCTTCATGCAGGAGGTGCCTCTTGTCTAGAGCTGCTCTGATATGAACTTTGCTTGCAGAACTTTGTGCCTATCTGCAATAGTAGGCTGTACAAGTTTATATCCCATACATGCTACCGAGGTATCCCTTGTACATCCCAGAATTACCCGCATGTTTTCATTCAGTTCTCTTTAAGATCCAGTTTCTTTCAAGTCATTTTCATTGCTTGGTTTAGCTGTTCAGAGTGTTCTCATCATTCATCTCTGTCGCTTCCACATAATATTTTACTAGTTGGCCAACTGTCCATGATTCACTTCTGTATATGATGTTAGGATTTAAATAGCTCTTGAGAATTCTTTCTCACTTGACAAAGAAAGATGGTATATAATTACCCTTCTTCATACATATATAAATAAGCACTTTACATTTTTTGTTCTTTTTGTAAATTACTAAAGTAACTTTAATTCCTCAGAAACTTCAAGTGTTTGTTTTCGATGACACTGACCCAGAAATAGATGCTTATCTAGGAGTGGCTGAAATACCTCTCTTGCCATTGGCCCACAATAAGCCAATCGCTGGGGAGTTCCAGCTGACTAGAGGAGAAGGCAAGGCGCCTGTTGGAATTATTGAGGTGGAGCTGAGATGGCAGTATCATTATCTGCCTCCAACAGTGTCCAAGCATCAGCCTCAGGAGGTAATTACCATTGTTTCAGTGTGGTTATTTTTATATTATTTTATATAGGTGAACAAGGTATTGTCATCATCATTATCATGTGAAATATTCCAGGACATTTTCTGTGAAATATTCCAGGACATTTTCTGTGAAATATTCCAGGACATTGTCTGTGAAATAGTCCAGGACATTTTCTGTGAAATATTCCAGGACATTTTCTGTGAAATATTCCAGGACATTTTCTGTGAAATATTCCAGGACATTGTCTGTGAAATATTCCAGGACATTTTCTGTGAAATATTCCAGGACATTGTCTGTGAAATATTCCAGGACATTTTCTGTGAAATATTCCAGGACATTTTCTGTGAAATAGTCCTCAACACTCATCTGTCAGACCACAAGTTGTATGTAAAGCAGGGTATGTTTATATAACAGTATATGTGATGTAAAAAAAAAAAAGTAAAGATCCCTTTTCACGCCTTTCGGCGCATCAGGCATATGGGCAGAGCGTCCCATATTTTTACAGACCATCAGCACTGTGGGTAATGTGGTCAGCATTACGCCGGCTGTCTTTACTTTCCCAGGACAGCCCATCTTACGTAAATTGAAGAACAAAATAGTCATAATAACACATGTGGTTTTTTTAACACACCAAAGTGTGAATGTTTAATGCATGCATTCAGATATGCATGTATTCACGTATGCATATATACCTGTAACACATACATACATACATACATACATACATACATACATACATACATACATACATACATACATACATACATACATACATACATACATACAGACAGACATACAGACAGACACCCACCCACCCACCCACACACACACGCACGCATGCACGCACACACCCACACACACACACACACACACACACACAAATATATATATACATACACACACATACTACCTACATACATACATACATACATACATACATACATACATACATACATACATACATACATACATACATACATACATACATACATACATACATACATACATGCGTACATACATACATACATACATACATGCATACATGCATACATACATACATACATACATACATACATACATACATGCATACATACATACATACATACATACATACATACATACATACATACATACATACATACATACATACATACATACATACATACATACATACATACATACATACATACATGCACGCATGCATACATACATACATACATACATACATACATACATACATACATACATGCATGCATGCATGCATGCATACATACATACATACATACATACATACATACATACATGCGTACATATGTACACAATACATTCATGGGTACGTACGTACGTACACAATACATACAAGATAGAGAAACAGTCAGACTACTGGGTTAACAGATACACATATAGACAGACAGGTTGATAGATAGACAGAGAAACAGACAGACAGACAGGTTGATAGATACACATATAGACAGATGGACTGACAGACAGACAGATATGCCATTTCTCTGTCTCACATTTTTAACTATAAAATCTTTAGCTGACCATCCGTGAGTTCACCACTATTTGTCTAGTTGTGTTTCCTCAAATGTTCAGATTGAGTTTACTTAAGGAACTATGAAGACGACTGTGAGTTTACTCAAGGAACTATGAAGACGACTGTGTTAAGTCTCTCACATTCTCTTTGGTGTACAAGCATCTCTCTGTGTTTTTAGTAAGTTTGACTATTAGTTACTATGTTTTGACAGCTTTTAAACAAACGCCTACAAAACTGTTGTTGTTGTTGTTGTTGCACCTCACCATGTAATGCTCCCAAAGATGGCAGCAGCTGAACTGTAGCCGACCTTCATCACTGTGGAGATGACACAAAAATTTGTTGTAAACAATCCCCCAACAGATTGGTTGCTGTTGTGTTTTAGATGCCCTGTCTCTTGTTTCACAGTTGGAAAGAGCCCCTGAAGAGCCTCCACAGAGATTAAAACCTGAAGGCCATCCGACACGGGATGAGCTGGTCAAGTCGGTCCGAACACCAAATGGCACAAAGAAAAGAAAGGGACCCACTGCCACTTCAACCCCACTTGACAAGGAGAAGTTAGAGACCATTGAGGCACAGATCATCCAGGCTGGGGTACGTTTTGATCTGTTCCTAGGATAGTTCTGCAGTGAAAAGTTGCGCTTAGAGTTCAATTGTAAGACAGTGGAAATTATGTCATCACCAAGAAGACAAAAATACCAAAGTGTGAAATACATGCAAACAGCAAAATTCTTAAACAAGTTAATAGAATAACTATTATGGAATTGTCATAATATCTGACACAAGATGCTTTTCAGAAGTGAGAACAAGAATCACCAGGGCAAAGGTGGGCTTTAGCGAGTTGCTCAAGAATTGCCAGGGCAAAGGTGGGCTTTAGCGAGTTGCTCAAGAATTGCCAGGGCAAAGGTGGGCTTTAGCAAGATGCCCAAGAATCACCAGGGCAAAGGTGGGCTTTAGCAAGATGCTCAAGAATCGCCAGGGCAAAGGTGGGCTTTAGCCAGATACTCAAGAATCGCCAGGGCAAAGGTGGGCTTTAGCAAGATGCTCAAGAATCGCCAGGGCAAAGGTGGGCTTTAGCAAGATGCTCAAGAATCGTCAGGGCTAAGGTGGGCTTTAGCAAGATGCTCAAGAATCGCCAGGGCTAAGGTGGGCTTTAGCAAGATGCTCAAGAATCGTCAGGGCTAAGGTGGGCTTTAGCAAGATGCTCAAGAATCGCCAGGGCAAAGGTGGGCTTTAGCCAGATGCTCAAGAATTGCCAGGGCAAAGGTGGGCTTTAGCAAGATGCTCAAGAATCGCCAGGGCAAAGGTGGGCTTTAGCAAGATGCTCAAGAATCACCAAGGCAAAGGTGGCCTTTAGCCAGATGCTCAAGAATCGCCAGGGCAAAGGTGGGCTTTAGCAAGATGCTTAAAAATCAATAAGGCAAAGGTGGCCTTTAGCAAGATGCCCAAGAATCACCAGGGCAAAGGTGGGCTTTAGCAAGATGCTCAAGAATTGCCAGGACAATGGTGGCCTTTAGCAAGATGCTCAAGAATCGCCAGGGCAAAGGTGGGCTTTAGCAAGATGCTCAAGAATCACCAGGGCAAAGGTGGCCTTTAGCAAGATGCTCAAGAATCATAGGGCAAAGGTGGGCTTTAGCAAGATGCCCAAGAATCACCAGGGCAAAGGTGGGCTTTAGCAAGATGCTCAAGAATTGCCAGGACAATGGTGGCCTTTAGCAAGATGCTCAAGAATCGCCAGGGCAAAGGTGGGCTTTAGCAAGATGCTCAAGAATCACCAGGGCAAAGGTGGCCTTTAGCAAGATGCTCAAGAATCATAGGGCAAAGGTGGGCTTTACCGAGATGCTCAAGAATCACCAGGGCAAAGGTGGGCTTTACCGAGATGCTCAAGAATCGCCAGGGCAAAGGTGGGCTTTACCGAGATGCTCAAGAATCGCCAGGGCAAAGGTGGGCTTTACCGAGATGCTCAAGAATCGCCAGGGCAAAGGTGGGCTTTAGCAAGATGCTTAAGAATCGCCAGGGCAAAGGTGGGCTTTAGCAAGATGCTCAAGAATCGCCAGGGCAAAGGTGGCCTTTAGCCAGATGCTCAAGAATCGCCAGGGCAAAGGTGGGCTTTAGCAAGATGCTCAAGAATCGTCAGTTCTAAGGTGGGCTTTAGCAAGATGCTCAAGAATTGCCAGGACAAAGGTGGGCTTTAGCAAGATACTCAAGAATCGCTGGGGCAGAGGTCGGCTTTAGCAAGATGCAAAGGATACTTATCAACAAGAAGATGTCAGTTGCAGTGAGGGAAAGAGTGTTATAATGCAGTGTAGAGCCTGTGTTGTTATATGCATGTGAGATGCGGACAATAAACAGACCAGCTAAAAAAACATTTACTTGCAGCAGAGAAGAATGCCAAGGATACCATGGAGGTATAGAAATACAAACTAAGCAGTCCTTGTCAAGGCAGAAAGTGGTAAACTTATCAGAGCACGTAGACATAAACATAGTCAGTGTTATTTTAATGGACTTTGTAACAGCTGGCAAAATTGATAGAAAGAGTGCAAGAGGATGGCAGAGAAATAGATACCTAAATGACCTAGCCAGATGGATGGGGGGAAGACAAAAACATTGACTTGATCCGTGTTTCTAGTAGTCGTTTGAAATGGTGAAACATGACAGCCTTTGCTTACCGGCACCTCACATGATGATGATGATGATGAAGAGTATAGTTCTGCATCTCTTGCTGTGGGTACACTGATTTATAAAAAACATGACATAAGAAAACAACAGTACAAAACTGGAAACAAAAGTCGTTAGTGTCATCTTTCTGCTGCTGGAGAATCTTCTAGAGTTGGGTTGAGTTTAGCCTGACATTACAGCACTCAGAATTTACCCATAAGTGCTTCATCCCCATCTTCAGCAGCCAGGCTTTTAAATTACAAGATAGTCATTGCCATAGAATAGCTATGTCATGTATTTCACAAGAGCTCAGTTACTGAAAATAACAATTGGGGCTAAGTATAATCCTCGTAATCCCTTATGGGCTCCGGGGTCATGTTGTGGGGAAAACCAAAAATAGACTCACTGCCTCCCTAACTGGCGTGTTGTAATAGTCGAATAATAAGGGAGCCTCCTTCAAAGTTGAAGTGCGTCTGCCTGAGAGGCCAGGAACCTAGAGCCTGCCTACAGTTAAGTCAGATCTGTGACAGAAATATTTGTGCATGCAACACTCAGGTTCTGGAAGCAGACTAAAGTCTGGAAGTGGATGAATATCCAGAGGTTCCTGCAGAGTTTACAGCCAGAGTATACTGCGAAGAGGAGGAAGAAGAATATATCCTGGTAAGGAAGCATAGTCCTAGTGATGTGGACAACATCCACAGTTGAGTGTTGATGGTCTGTAAACATTTGAGTCCAGCCACGTATGCCTGAAGCAGCAGCAGTGTCGGAGGAGGCTGTGACTCAGATGAAAGAGAAGCATGAAGTTGATAGTCTCCCTTCTTGTGGTCTTACAGCCTAAGCCTGTATCACGGAGAAAAGTCATCATCTCCCAGGACCAGCCCACCTACAATGGAGCTAATGCTGTTGATGACACGGTTTCACAAGTGGTTTCAGGCTTTATCCCAGGCATATCACAGACCATGTCTTCGGTAACTGGTAAGTTGGGTAGAGTCTTATATTTTTCTTTCTGTGTTGTCATGTGTTTTTTTTTTATATCCTTCCTTTCAGCAAAATGAGATTTATTTTGTCAACGTGCTAGTGAATTTATATCCTGCCTGTTGTGTTTAGGGATCTTTACTGGAACCGTGCTGACTGGCCCAAAGCGTGCAAAAGGTCAGTTTATATTTCCCTCCCGAAAAAAAGAAATCTCAAATTATGTAACAATTATCGTACTATAGCTCTAATTATTGATGCCAGCAAAATTTATCTCCAGATCATCTTGAAGAGAATTGAGAACAAATTGGGTTATGAATTACAAGAAGCACAAGCGGGTTTTAGATGGTGCAGAGGAACAAGACACCATATTTTCAATATGAGAATCATCCTAGAGAGGTGTAGAGAATACAATATAGATTTTCCTACTTGTTTTATAGACTAAAGCAAGGCATTTGACTGTGTGCAACAACATAAACTATGGCATATAATAAGAGGCATTTGGATTTCCCAAAACATCTGGTGCACTTAATGAATCCCTTCACCATGAATAACAAGCAGTAGTCAGAGTAGCTGGTGAAACATCAGAATGGTTTAAAGTGCAAAAAGGAGCGAGACAGGGCTGCATTCTTTCTCAGTCCTTTTTTAAAATATATGCTGAAAATGTTAGGAGAAACGCAGTTGTCGATGAGGCAAATCTGATTTCACAAAACCCTTAATTAGCGCTGTTTTCAGCATGCTTGTTGGGAGAGGTGGGCAGTAGATGTTTTGTTTCCTTCTCTGCCAAAATAGGGTCATGCAAAGATGATAGGACGATATGATTTCATACACCAACTGTTATGTTACTTCCATCTTCAGATCAAAGTGTGGAACAGCCCCAGCTTCTACGTTCATCAGGTAAGAGTTTCTATTATAAACAAAAGTAATTACTCAGTGTTTATGTGTGCTTTGTCTATCATAACCATACCTGCTGGGTGGGGGTTGGTGATTGAAGTCAAGATAGCAAGAAGTAGACATTGATATGAGTGGGAGAGGAGGACAAGATCAAGAGACAGATGAACAGCAATCTAAGAGAGAGAGAGAGGAGAGAGAGAGTATTCAACCAAGACAAGATTCAGAATGTGCTGCAGATCCTTGTGAACCTTTAACTCTTGTCATCTCTGAAGGCAACAGCAGCTGCCCAGTGGGGGGCAGTTATGATATCACAGTTGATGTCACTGTACATTGGGCATTGCCATATAGGCTCAGTCCTGCAATGCCCTAGCCACTTTAAGGTATCTGTACTAATTGTTCCCATTAGAAGCGGGTTATATCTTCTACTTGGCCACAAAGATGGCATAGACATGCTTCACCATTCTTTACTTCCATGTCACACAATCATGTTAGCGTCAGATATTTGTCAATTCATCATTATGTGAATTTGAACCTAAGACCTTCAACTTGTGTAGCCAGGGTGTCATCCAGTTTCCAGAAAGTAACAAATATTGTGGATTTGTCTGAAAAGAATTTTTTGATAGATATAATAAATTAATGAAATATTAAATAAATATTACCTTTAAACATTAAATAGACAGATGACTACAAGTAACTGACACATTTAAAGTCAATAAAACACTAGCCCTAAACATCTGTGTTTGTATGAGTCCATCTACATAGAGGGTACAGTGTCCCTGTAGCTTCAAGGGGCCCTGTTTAGGGTTAGGAGAATCAGCCCACCTTCTCTCAAGGGGCCCTGTTTAGGGTGAGGAGAATCAGCCCACCTCCTCTCAAGGGGCCCTGTTTAGGGTTAGGAGAATCAGCCCACCTCCTCTCAAGGGGCCCTGTTTAGGGTTAGGAGAATCAGCCCACCTCCTCTCAAGGGGCCCTGTTTAGGGTTAGGAGAATCAGCCCACCTCCTCTCAAGGGGCACTGTTTAGGGTGAGGAGAATCAGCCCACCTCCTCTCAAGGGGCCCTGTTTAGGGTTAGGAGAATCAGCCCACCTCCTCGTAACAAGCATCTTGTCAAAAGCAGCTTATTAGGGTTTTTGTTGAATTTGAATATGTTGGGCCCAAAGACAGTGATATAGTTTAGCGGTCAACTACAACACAGCGTGCCAACAACCATTTCTACGGGAAACAGAGTGAAAGAAGAAGAGATGCAGGGTTCATTCACAAATGTCTTTGTTGCGTCTGCTCAACAATGTCCAAACTGGCAATGTCTCTCACCTCACAGTGACTCCGGAGGCTTCAACTGTTGAAGAAAGTGACGAGGGGGAGGAGTTGTCAGCTAGACCCGCCCCTTCTCGGTCCTCCCTGAGAATGGAATCTGGTTCTGAAGAAGGTATGAGTTTTGTCATTCGGGAAGACATCCAACTTCTGTTCGCGTTGTTTTCCCTTCTTAGTTTTGTATTGCCAATTGTCTAGACCCTTAGTGTGGTGACAGTTGATTATATTTATTTTATATATATGTGTGTGCACGCGCTATATGTCATTTTTGTTGGATTTGATCTTTCTTTACCCAGTTTAACTGTCCTAGTATTAGTGTGCTTGATTCAATTAAATATGATTTAACTGTTCTAATTTATGATGACAGAGAAATATTAATAATCAAAAGCAAGCTGGAAACATTCACAGTATTGACACATATTTATATTTTCTTAGGATAGGCGAGTGAGTAGCTTATCTGTTAGAGGGTGTGTCTTGTGTAAATAAAATGTCCGGTTGAAATCTAAATCACTGCACTGTTGTGATGAAATAAGTCTACAACTGGATACCTTGCTCCCAGTTGGTGAAAGAATACGGGACTGTCACCATATATTAGATTAGCCGCAACGCTTGGTATAGTTGTGGGAAGTAAAAGTAGCTGCGTGATGCTGAAAACCAGCCAAGAGCCGATTGGTCTATCAAATATAGGTCTAGCCCTATATGCCCAATATGCCTGAAGGTGTGGAAATGGGTCCTTTAATCTTACTCCAGGTCTGGAAAAGTACCCCTAACTTTTAATGCCACCGTGTACTTTTGTGTGTGAATTCAGGACTTTGCGTTGAGAAAAGTCTTCCACGGTTACAGCATGGGATTTCAGGACCATTTGTTGTAATCTCTTGTATTGGACATGCTTCTTCTGAGACTCTCAGCTCTTAATCTGTCTGCAGTTATTTTATCCTTGATCCATGTTCCAGTGGTTTTCAACTTGTGGTCAGCAGAACACATTTAAGGCACCTATGGTATTTAGAAATCAAGAACAACTGTCAACCCTTTTTTTATTTTATTTTTTTTTAATGATCATTTCCTTCGAAACCAGAGTTAATCTGCCTGAGGGGCAAGGAATCAACAGTCTGCATGTAAATAGTATGTATGAATCTGTAAAACAGATGTGCATGCACCACTCGGGTTCTGTGACAAGATCAAGGTCCAGAGGTGGATGAACAACCAGAACTTTCTGCCAGAGATTGCAGCTAGTGAACGTGAAGAAGAATTGGACTTTACAAAAAAGTGCAGGATCCATGGCAGGGCTTGGGAAATAAGACGGGGGTCTGTGGGTCTTTGTCTGACTTAGAATCACTGTCCCGTGCCTTTCATGATTGTCTACCTTTGTACAACATAGTATGTGTTTCCACAAATCCGCCTTAATACCTGTATCATTCATGTCCCACTTGCACCAATCATGATACCTCATATCTTAGAAGAAGCTGACCTTGACATCTTCTGCTCATTAGCAGTTTGCCATAGAGGATGCCCCGAGCCGCTCTGCCACCCTTTATCATCTCAGTAATCTTCTGGGAAGCTGAGCCTACTGAACATCAGTAACACTGTAGTGATACCCTCTCTTTCCAATATCCAATGTTCTAGAAGTGAGACATTTCAAAACAATCATCCTTGTTATCTGCAAGCAAGCTTGTTTGTGTGTGTGTGTGTGTGTGTGTGTGTTTTTATGTGATTGATAACATATAAAGTGTGTAAGTTATGTGATAGATATTTTATCAAATGTGTAATTTATGTGATAGATAACATATAAAGTGTGTAAGTTATGTGATAGATAACATATAAAGTGTGTAAGTTTTTGTTTCTCTCCTTGTGCAACTGTTTTAAGATTCCAGGGCCATAACAAGCAGGTTAATTGAAGATATCCATCTTGGCAAACCCAAACCAAGAACCAGAACACAGCTGTTGTATAGTGAGGCAGTCCTGTCTGTATTATCTGGTATGTCCAAACTGGCATATCGACACAGCATGCTTGCTCATTGGCTTCTTGTCGTGTCCATGTTGTGCTAATTCACCCGACTGTTCCTAGTATTACATGAATTACACATGTACCAGACTGTTCCTAGTATTACGTGAATTACACATGTACCAGACTGTTTCTAGTATTACATGAATTACACATGTACCAGACTGTTTCTAGTATTACATGAATTACACATGAACTTTTGAACAAGAAGAAACATAAAACAGATTGCACAATTTATTACTGCCCTGCATATTTGGCTGTATTTTGTCAGGTGCATGCTACAGAAATAGGTCAGTTAGCTTAGGTCAATTCTCCTCCTTCTTCTCCTTCTCCTTCTGCATGCACCCTTAAAATATCGATCGGCACATTGTTTTGTGGTTTACAGCTAGACTGTAGTATCTGCACTTTAGGGAATCCCTGCTTAGTTGTCTTGTATGACATACACTTGTAAGGAAATCTTGTGTGTCTGTTCATTGTCCCCTGAAATAGGGCCCCTAATACTACACGGGTAAACAGATGAATGAATTCTTTTGATTAAGTTTAATCTTGGATGTATATAGTCTAATTAAGATACACATGCAAAGTGTAATCTTTAATTAAGATTAATTTTAACGCAAAATCTGTAATTAAGATACATGTTGCATGAATATAATCGTTGTTAAGATAAACCTTGCATGAACATAATCTTTTTTTTTTAAATTGACCTTGCATGAATATAATCTTTAAAATGAATATAATCTTTAATTAAAATAAGCATAGCATGATTATTAACATGAATGGGGGAAATCTTTGAGTAAGGTTAACATTACACAATTATAATCTTTAATTAGCCTTCTCTGTGGGGTTCCGGGGCCCCATTATGGGGATACAAGAATGAACTCACTGCCTCTCTAACTAGCACAAGATGCAGCTAGTTGGGGTTTCCTTTGCAGTTGGAGTGCATCTGCCTGGCAGGCAAGGAACCAACATTCTGCAGACAGATAAGTCAGATCTGTAAAACAGATGTACATGCAACACTCAAGTTCTGAAACAAGACTAAAGTCCAGAAGTGGACAAACAACCAGAACTTTCCACTGGAGTTTACAGCCAGTGAACATGAAGAAGATAATGAAGAATAAAACAACATGACTATGATCTTTAATTAAGATAGAGATTGCATAGACATGATTGTCCATGAAGATAGCTTCTAGTTAACTGTTGAAACAAGAGCATATGCTTTGATTTTATTGGTAATTGTTTTGTATACTCATTATCCTGTAAAACAGAAGGAGACAGACAGATAAATAAATGACCACATAGACTAGAGGATATAGAATGGGAATGTAGAAAGTAGGTATATAGATGGATGGAAGGAGGGACAATTGGGATAGGTTGGAGAATTAATGGTTGGGGGGAATGGGAGGGCGTGTTAGTAGTTTTAGTATTTGAAGTTAGCACATTTTTAGCAGGCAAGTCTCTTGTTGTCCCAGGGTTGTTTTTTTTTTTTTTTATTGTGCGCGAGCGAGTGTTCAACTAGTTTTCTTTTCTCTGTAAACTTTGTGTCTTGTAAAATTCATCTTAAAGTTCAAGTCACAAAGTATGGCAGCGGTGGCAGTAATAGCAATGAAGAGCCAACACACAGTGACAGCCGCTCACAACGCGGAAATAAGAACGTGCTGGCCCATCAGAACATGGAATATAGAATGCTTACAGTTCTGAAAATAACATAACATGACACCCCCTAGAACATAGGACAGCCCATTGCACGACCGTGGCATGAATGGGAGCAGACATGAAATCTAGCCCCCTGCAAGATGTGTGGTGATGTTTGTGATATGTACCCAACAATTTATTCTTTGTTGAATATTCATAGAGATACCTTTGTTCTTGTTTTATTTGTTGACATGTTTGCCCACAGGCTTATGGGTGCATTCAAATGTATGTGAATATATACACACACTTTATGCATTTACACACATTCTTGGGTTTGTAAACAGATGAAATGATGTCCCTGTCTGTGGAAACTGCCCTGATACCAGCCGCCATACAGTCATGTTCAAGCAATATCACAAGCACAGAATTAAAGGAAGACCACATAAAAGAAAGTGCTTAAAGACCTGAAGAGCCATTCACACAAAGAAGTAGAGACACTTCACCGAGATAACAGGAGTAAAAGAAGAAGATAATCGTGTATATTAACTCTTGTAGTACTTGAGGACATTTAAATTAGTCAAATTAATGCTGATTGTGTTTCTTGATATCTGAAGAGTTAAGCTGGATTCACCAGTTCTTTTCCTAACCAACCAACCTTCTAACAAAATAATCTAGTACCCTTTTTTTAAGGTCATTGTGAAATGGGAATGTACACTGTCTGCTTGATGCCTTTTGTCAAGGTAAACTTTTGTCATTGTGGAATTTGGTTTTATTATTTCAGGAGGCTCCAGAGACCAGACTCCAAAGGTAAGCCTCCACATCACATCTACATGTCTAGTTTCAAACTGAAATTTTCACTCAAAATTTGTCTGCTCTGGTAAGTATAGACTAGCATCACAGCTCTCTGGACAGATCCACAGTTGCTCTGATCTCCTCCTCAGTAGCTCCACTAAGATTGAATGACTGATCATGCCCGCTCTGTATTGATAAATCAAACATCTTGTGCCCTTTGTGAAATGTTTCTGTCTAGTAGCTTCTGGCTGCACTCACATATTCACCAATGTAGACACGATACATAGCCACGGGGATACAGAGCCACAGGGGATACAGAGCCATGGGGATACAGAGCCATGGGGATACAGAGCCACAGGGATACAGAGCCATGGGGATACAGAGCCATGCTTGCTGTCATAATCTTTGATGTATTCATCTCCCGTGGCATTCATGACATCGCTCTTACCCAGTGATGGGCCAATCACAGTAACCTGCTGTATAGATCAGACCACATGAAGAATGACTAAAAAGAGTTATAAACTACACATGTTCATTAACCGTTGTTTTTGTAAAACCCATAATGGTGTGAAAGAATTACTGAAGCTTTCACTTGATAGAAAGAATTGAATCAGATTTCAGTCCACAAAGAGGTGAGCAAACAATGCTGGCAATGGATGTGTGTCATGTAAGAAACACATTGAGAAAACCTGCTAATGTTGTAAACTGAAATGTGCTTTACCTGGAACCCACATGGGAAAATAAATAAGGGAAACCTTAAAACAGATCAGGGCAAGAATTAGAGACAGAATTGAATCTGGGGAGGACATTGAGGGAGCTTCCGTAGATGGGGAAAGATGGGAAGACTTAGCATGAGTTGTTGAAGGTTTAGGTTTCATCAAAGGGGCAACAACAGGCAAGCAGTCTAGTTTTTGTTGTTCTTGTTGATGTTGTTGTTCTTATTGTTGTTGATGATGTTGTTCTTGTTGATGTTGTTGTTCTTCTTGTTGTTGATGATGATTATAATCTCTGTTCTGCAGTAACTTACTGTTAGTATGATCTAGACCTCATAATGTAGACAAGATTTGACCTGGGAAGGAACTTCATATCCTGATGCCTGTACCTGCCAAGAGACTAAACATTATCTTTTGCTGTATTTTTCCCCCCAACAAATGGAACCTTCATTTAGTTTAAGTGGTAGAGAGGGTATAGGAACAACTGTATTTTCATTGAAGTTATTGGGTCACTAGAAATAGATGTTGAACAGTATAGAATACCAAATATTGTTTATAACAGACAATGTGGGATACCAGTCACAGTTAAATACCAGTCAGTATGGAATACCTGTCGGTGTGGAATATCTATCAGTGTGGAATACCAGTCAGTGTGGAATACCTGTCAGTGTGGAATACCTATCAGGTGTGGAATACCTGTCAGTGTGGAATACCTGTCAGTGTGGGATACCTGTCAGTGTGGAATACCTATTGGTGTGGAATACCTGTCAGTGTGGAATACCTGTCGGTGTGGAATACCAGTCAGTCTTGAATACCTGTCGGTGTTGAATACTTGTCGGTGTGGAATACCTGTCAGTGTGGAATACCTGTCGGTGTGGAATACCAGTCAGTGTGGATACCATTAAGTGTGGAATATCAGACAGTGTGGAATACCTGTCGGTTTGGAATACCAGTCAGTCTTGAATACCTGTCGGTGTGGAATACCTGTCAGTGTGGAATACCTGTCGGTGTGGAATAATTGTCGGTGTGGAATACCTGTCAGTGTGGAATACCTGTCCGTGGGGGAAAACAATTGTTTATACTAGACAGTGTTTATACCTGACAGTGTTGTTGTAACTGCTGTTTTGTGTGTGTGTTTCAGGCGTCACCAGCAAGATCTGTGTCTGCTTCTGAGCAAGAAGGTAAACACAATTTTGAATCTTTTCTAGACAAATTGTATGTCTTATTAATGGTATAAATGGCTGAGGTTCCGGTCCCTCCTTGACATCCCACTGGTTGACCTTGATACAGCCCACTGGTTGACCTTGATACAGCCAAGTGGCTGACCTTGATGAAGCAGTTAGTGAAAACACAGTTAGTGAGGCACAGGTCGGGTGTGCAAGATTAGCGGCATGTTTTTCATACTCTACGCCAGGCTAATCAGCTGGCAGCCTGTGAACCAAACCATGACGGCCTAGTCAAGTGACCCACGGATCATTGCCAGTTTGCATTGCATTATTCAACTTTCTGTGGTAAGACTCGTTCTCTGGCCCGGTACAGTCCCCATGTTCAGAGTGTTTGCCCCTAGTGTACAAAGTTTGTTAAGCCTGCTCTACAGCCTGAGAATCCTGGTAGCGTCATGTTTACCATCACAGTGTTACTGAGGCCTGCAAAGGAAACAGAACAGGAACAGTATAAACTACAAGTTCATAGAATCACTAACACTGAGCTTAGGTAGAGAACTAAACAGATTCCAGTGAATCAAGAGGTGAAGAAAAGATTCTGGTGTTGGATAGGACACACTTTGAGAAAAACTTAAGAACAGCATAACTAGAATGTCCTTGCACTAGAACCCACATGGAAATAGAATAAAGGAAGACACACAAAAACACAAGGAGAAGGCAGAATTTCTGTTTAATATTGCCATTAGTGAGAAATAGCTGGTCGAATGGTTAAGCATGCTATACTCTCATACAGAAGGCCCAGATTAGAATCCCCAGTAAAGTTATGGGTTTTTATGTCTGAGGCAATGGTGATGTGTGATAAGTGATGGCATGTGAGAGTTAGTTTTTATGTCTGGGGCAATGGTGATGTGTGATAAGTGATGGCATGTGAGAGTTAGTTTTTATGTCTGGGGCAATGGTGATGTGTGATAAGTGATGATATGTGAGAGTTTTTATGTCTGGGGCAATGGTGATGTGTGATAAGTGATGATATGTGAGAGTTTTTATGTCTGGGGCAATGGTGATGTGTGATAAGTGATGGCATATGAAAGTTAGTTTTTATGTCTGGGGCAATGGTGATGTGTGATAAGTGATGACATGTGAGAGTTTTTATGTCTGGGGCAATGGTGATGTGTGATAAGTGATGGCATATGAAAGTTAGTTTTTATGTCTGGGGCAATGGTGATGTGTGATAAGTGATGATATGTGAGAGTTTTTATGTCTGGGGCAATGGTGATGTGTGATAAGTGATGATATGTAAGAGTTTTTATGTCTGGGGCAATGGTGATGTGTGAAAAGTGATGGCATGTGAGAGTTGTTATGTCTGGGGCAATGGTGATGTGTGATAAGTGATGGCATGTGAGAGTTTTTATGTCTGGGGCAATGGTGATGTGTGATAAGTGATGATATGTGAGAGTTTTTATGTCTGGGGCAATGGTGATGTGTGATAAGTGATGATATGTGAGAGTTTTTATGTCTGGGGCAATGGTGATGTGTGATAAGTGATGATATGTGAGAGTTTTTATGTCTGGGGCAATGGTGATGTGTGATAAGTGATGATATGTGAGAGTTTTTATGTCTGGGGCAATGGTGATAAGTGATGATATGTGAGAGTTTTTATGTCTGGGGCAATGGTGATGTGTGATAAGTGATGGCATGTGAAAGTTTTTATGTCTGGGGCAATGGTGATGTGTGATAAGTGATGGCATGTGAAAGTTTTTATGTCTGGGGCAATGGTGATGTGTGATAAGTGATGGCATATGAAAGTTAGTTTTTATGTCTGGGGCAATGGTGATGTGTGATAAGTGATGGCATGTGAGAGTTTTTATGTCTGGGGCAATGGTGATGTGTGATAAGTGATGACATGTGAGAGTTTTTATGTCTGGGGCAATGGTGATGTGTGATAAGTGATGATATGTGAGAGTTTTTATGTCTGGGGCAATGGTGATGTGTGATAAGTGATGGCATGTGAGAGTTTTTATGTCTGGGGCAATGGTGATGTGTGATAAGTGATGACATGTGAGAGTTTTTATGTCTGGGGCAATGGTGATGTGTGATAAGTGATGGCATGTGAGAGTTTTTATGTCTGGGGCAATGGTGATGTGTGATAAGTGATGATATGTGAGAGTTTTTATGTCTGGGGCAATGGTGATGTGTGATAAGTGATGATATGTGAGAGTTTTTATGTCTGGGGCAATGGTGATGTGTGATAAGTGATGGCATGTGAAAGTTAGTTTTTATGTCTGGGGCAATGGTGATGTGTGATAAGTGATGGATGACATGTGAGAGTTAGTTTTTATGTCTGGGGCAATGGTGATGTGTGATAAGTGATGACATGTGAGAGTTAGTTTTTATGTCTGGGGCAATGGTGATGTGTGATAAGTGATGACATGTGAGAGTTTTTATGTCTGGGGCAATGGTGATGTGTGATAAGTGATGGCATGTGAGAGTTAGTTTTTATGTCTGGGGCAATGGTGATGTGTGATAAGTGATGACATGTGAGAGTTTTTATGTCTGGGGCAATGGTGATGTGTGATAAGTGATGATATGTGAGAGTTTTTATGTCTGGGGCAATGGTGATGTGTGATAAGTGATGGCATATGTGAGAGTTTTTATGTCTGGGGCAATGGTGATGTGTGATAAGTGATGACATGTGAGAGTTTTTATGTCTGGGGCAATGGTGATGTGTGATAAGTGATGGCATGTGAGAGTTTTTATGTCTGGGGCAATGGTGATGTGTGATAAGTGATGACATGTGAGAGTTTTTATGTCTGGGGCAATGGTGATGTGTGATAAGTGATGACATGTGAGAGTTTTTATGTCTGGGGCAATGGTGATGTGTGATAAGTGATGGCATGTGAGAGTTAGTTTTTATGTCTGGGGCAATGGTGATGTGTGATAAGTGATGGCATGTGAGAGTTAGTTTTTATGTCTGGGGCAATGGTGATGTGTAAGTGATGATATGTGAGAGTTTTTATGTGGGGATGGTGATGTTGTGATAAGTGATGATATGTGAGAGTTTTTATGTCTGGGGCAATGGTGATGTGTGATAAGTGATGACATGTGAGAGTTTTTATGTCTGGGGCAATGGTGATGTGTGATAAGTGATGATATGTGAGAGAGTTTTTATGTCTGGGGCAATGGTGATGTGTGAGTCTAAGTGATGTGTGATATGTGATGGAGAGTTTTTATGTCTGGGGCAATGGTGATGTGTGATAAGTGATGGCATGTGAGAGTTTTTATGTCTGGGGCAATGGTGATGTGTGATAAGTGATGGCATGTGAGAGTTAGTTTTTATGTCTGGGGCAATGGTGATGTGTGATAAGTGATGGCATGTGAGAGTTAGTTTTTATGTCTGGGGCAATGGTGATAAGTGATGGCATGTGAGAGTTAGTTTTTATGTCTGGGGCAATGGTGATGTGTGATAAGTGATGACATGTGAGAGTTTTTATCTCTGGGGCAATGGTGATGTGTGATGATGTGAGAGTTTTTATGTCTGGGGCAATGGTGATGTGTGATAAGTGATGGTGTGTGAGAGTTTTTATGTCTGGGGCAATGGTGATGTGTGATAAGTGATGGCATGTGAGAGTTTTTATCTCTGGGGCAATGGTGATGTGTGATAAGTGATGGCATGTGAGAGTTTTTATGTCTGGGGCAATGGTGATGTGTGATAAGTGATGGAGTTTTTATGTCTGGGGATGGTGTTGAGTTTGCATATGAAGATTTTTATGTCTGGGGCAATGGTGATGTGTGATAAGTGATGGTGTGTGAGAGTTTTTATGTCTGGGGCAATGGTGATGATGTGTGTTAATGTGATGGCAATGTGATGTGTGATTTTTTTATGTCTGGAGTTTTTTTTTATGTCTGGGGTGATGTGTGATAAGTGATGGCATGTGAGAGTTAGTTTTTATGTCTGGGGCAATGGTGATGTGTGATAAGTGATGGCATGTGAGAGTTTTTATGTCTGGGGCAATGGTGATGTGTGATAAGTGATGGCATGATGTGTGATAAGTGAGACATGTGAGAGTTTTTATGTCTGGGGCAATGGTGATGTGTGATAAGTGATGACATGTGAGAGTTTTTATGTCTGGGGCAATGGTGATGTGTGTGTGATAGAGTGATGGCATGCAGATGGTGATGTGTTTGATGTCTGGGGCAATGGTGATGTGTGATAAGTGATGGCATGTGACAGTTAATACTGTCTGTCAGTGATGTTGATAATCATGATATGTGACCTTTTTTTGTCTGGGGCAACAGTTGAACAGATTGAAGAAGAGATAGAGGCAAGAAGGTGTGATAAGTGATGATATGCTGAGGAGTTTTTAGCTCTGGGGCCATGGTGATGAAGTCTCAGAAGGTATGTGAAGAGTTTTTATGGCTGTAGAATCTGATAGTGATAAGGATGGGTTATGGTGTTTTCAGTCTTGGCATGTGGAATCCATGGGGCGGCAGAAGAAAAGACGAACTAAGTCTGGGGGCAATGGTGTAAGTGAATAAGTTTTGTCAGTGAGAGTTTTTTGTTGGGGAGATATTCCATTGTGAAAATGGAATGATACACTTAGTCTGGGGCCATGGTGAAATCGTGATGGTATTCTTTTTCTTTGGGGCAATGGTCCTTCTTCTTTTGCTGAGCTTTTTTTTGGGGCAACTGGTGCTGTTCCTCCTGCTCATGGCATGTGAAAGTGTTTCTGCAGCTCCTGTCCAAGCTACTCATTCTCGCCTTCTGATTAAGCCCTCACCTACTACTTTACTGCAAGCACATTTATTATGTTTCCCCATCTCTTCATCTTCAACAATTTAGTTCTATGGCTGGTTATTTGCGTATCCTTTACAGGACGTTGCAGAACCTGTTTTCTAGGCAAATTTACATCATTATTTTGCCCCAGAACCCACATTGAAAAGATTATTTTGCCCCAGAACCCACATGGAAAAGATTATTTTGTCCCAAAACCCACATGGGAAAGATTGTTTTGCCCCAGAACCCACATGGAAAAGATTATTTTTTACCCCAGAACCCACATGGAAAAGATTATTTTGCCCCAGAACCTACATGAAAAAGATTATTTTTCACTCCAGAACCCACATGGAAAAGATTATTTTGCCCCAGAACCCACATGGGAAAGATTATTTTGCTCCAGAACCCCCTTGGAAAAGATTATTTTGCCCCAGAACCCACATGGGAAAGATTATTTTGCTCCAGAACCCCCTTGGAAAAGATTATTTTGCCCCAGAACCCACATGGGAAAGATTATTTTGTCCCAGAACCCACATGGGAAAGATTGTTTTGCCCCAGAACCCACATGGAAAAGATAATTTTTTACCCCAGAACCCACATGGAAAAGATTATTTTTCACTCCAGAACCCACATGGAAAAGATTATTTTGCTCCAGAACCCACATGGGAAAGATTATTTTGTCCCAGAACCAACATGGGAAAAATTATTTTGCCCCAGAACCCACATGGGAAAGATTATTTTGCCCCAGAACCCACAGGGAAAAGATTATTTTGCCCCAGAACCCACAGGGAAAAGATTATTTTACTCCAGAACCCACATGGAAAAGAATATTTTGCCCCAAAACCCACATGGGAAAGATTATTTTGCCCCAGAACCCACAGGGAAAAGATTATTTTACCCCAGAACCCACATGGAAAAGATTGTTTTGCCCCAGAACCTACATGAAAAAGATTATTTTTCACTCCAGAACCCACATGGGAAAGATTATTTTGCTCCAGAACCCACATGGAAAAGATTATTTTGCCCCAGAACCCACATGGAAAAGATTATTTTTCACTCCAGAACCCACATGGAAAAGATTATTTTGCTACAGAACCCACATGGGAAAGATTATTTTACTCCAGAACCCACATGGAAAAGAATATTTTGCCCCAGAACCCACATGGGAAAGATTATTTTGCCCCAGAACCCACATGGAAAAGATTATTTTTCACTCCAGAACCCACATGGAAAAGATTATTTTGCCCCAGAACCCACAGGGAAAAGATTATTTTACTCCAGAACCCACATGGGAAAGATTATTTTGCCCCAGAACCCACATGGGAAAGATTATTTTGCCCCAGAACCCACATGGAAAAGATTATTTTTCACTCCAGAACCCACATGGAAAAGATTATTTTGCTCCAGAATCCACATGGGAAAGATTATTTTTCCCCAGAACCCAGATGGGAAAGATTTTTTTTGCCCCAGAACCCACATGTGAAACTGAATTCTTGATGAATTTTTTTCTAGTATTGGTATATATTGTGTTTACTTTCAGTCGGACACGCTGACAATTGTTGTCTCTGAAGTTTCCTTTGAGCCAGACTCTCAGCCTATGCTAGATGATAATGTCAGACAATTGTACGTGGAGTACCGGTTCTACGGTGTAGACCCGGCCGAAACAGAAACCCCATTCTCTTTGCCCAAGCCAAAAGCTAACCAGCCAATTACATTCAATTTCAGCAAGAGTAAGTTGAGCAATTTTTCAAACTACCACAATAACCTACCAGATTTTTGTGTGTGTAAGACAACCCCTATTTTCTTTTAACCTAAAAAATAATGTTGTACTGCTTTTGAGCTGAAATGCTATAGAAATATTCTCATAATATTATGGAGAAAAAAAGACAACAAGTACTGACATCTTAAAAGATCTGAACAGCATCTTATTTCAGAAGGTGAAATATTTTGGCCATCTCAAGTGTCACAGTAGATTGGTCAATGATAATAGCAGAAGGTATGGTACCAGGACAAAGATGGGAACAGGATATAAGGGACAACTTGAAATAGTGAAGTACACGAGTCAGGAGGGCTGGTGAGAGAACAGTTTCTTTCAGGCAGTCCGTGATGAGTGCGGCGTTCTGTAAAGACCTGCTACATGATGATAATAAGTTGTGCTACCATAATCACACACAAGACAGTTAAACATGAAAGACAGTTGTTATCATTATCTGGTGTTGAGCCAGTTAAACATGTGAAACATTCATTATCGTTGTCTGGTGTTGAGCCAGTTAAACATGAGAGACAGTTGTTATCATTGTCTGGTGTTGAGCCAGTTAAACATGAGAGACAGTTGTTATCATTGTCTGGTGTTGAGCCAGTTAAACATGAGAGACAGTTGTTATCATTGTCTGGTGTTGAGCCAGTTAAACATGAGAGACAGTTGTTATCATTGTCTGGTGTTGAGCCAGTTAAACATGAGAGACAGTTGTTATCATTGTCTGGTGTTGAGCCAGTTCAGTTAAACATGAGAGACAATTGTTATCATTGTCTGGTGTTGAGCTAGTCATTGTCTGGTGATGAGCTAGTTATTGTCTGGTGTTGAGCTAGTCATTGTCTGGTGTTGAGCTAGTTAAACAGGAGAGACAGTTGTTATCATTGTCTGGTGTTGAGCCAGTTCAGTTAAACATGAGAGACAATTGTTATCATTGTCTGGTGTTGAGCTAGTCATTGTCTGGTGTTGAGCTAGTTATTGTCTGGTGTTGAGCTAGTCATTGTCTGGTGTTGAGCTAGTTAAACAGGAGAGACAGTTGTTATCATTGTCTGGTGTTGAGCCAGTTAAACATGAGAGACAGTTGTTATCATTGTCTGGTGTTGAGCCAGTTAAACATGAGAGACAGTTGTTATCATTGTCTGGTGTTGAACCAGTTAAACATGAGAGACAGCTGTTATCATTGTCTGGTGTTAAGCCAGTTAAAGATGAGAGACAGTTGTTATCATTGTCTGGTGTTGAGCCAGTTAAACATGAGAGACAGTTGTTATCATTGTCTGGTGTTGAGCCAGTTAAACATGAGAGACAGCTGTTATCATTGTCTGGTGTTAAGCCAGTTAAAGATGAGAGACAGTTGTTATCATTGTCTGGTGTTGAGCCAGTTAAACATGAGAGACAGTTGTTATTATTGTCTGGTGTTGAGCCAGTTAAACAGGAGAGACAGTTGTTATCATTGTCTTGTGTTGAGCCAGTTAAACATGAGAGACAGTTATCATTTTCTGGTGTTGAACCAGTTAAACATGAGAGACAGTTGTTATCATTGTCTGGTGTTGAGCTAGTCATTGTCTGGTGTTGAGCTAGTTAAACAGGAGAGACAGTTGTTATCATTGTCTGGTGTTGAGCTAGTCATTGTCTGGTGTTGAGCTAGTCATTGTCTGGTGTTGAGCTAGTTAAACATGAGAGACAGTTGTTATCATTGTCTGGTGTTGAGCCAGTTAAACATGAGAGACAGTTGTTATCATTGTCTGGTGTTCAGCGTTTGGGCTAGTTGTTGGTTTTCCTCATCTTTCCCCGACTACATCATTACAAGTTATCAAGGATCATCATCATCTCGTAACACTGCGTGTCGTTGGGTCACCAGCTGTTGTTGACTGTCTGATCAGCTCCCTCTGTCTTTGATGGTTGATGCGATAAATTTCATTGTTGCATGCCAAAGGCCTGTCCAGTCAGTTCAGTTCTGTATCCAGGTCATTCTTGGTCCACCTCTCCTCATCAACCCCGTCCTTATAGTATTGTTTTTGAAAGGCCATTTTTTAAATGTTCATACCATTTGCACTGTCAGTCTTGTCACTGTGGTTAAGAGAGGTTCACAGCTGCACGTATACTGGGTAATTATACAGCGAACCTCATCCTTTATGGTATGGTCTCTGTATGATATGCCAAGAATTTTTCTGAGCGATCTCCTTTCCAATGCATGTATCTTCTTTTGAAGTTCAGCTTTGAGGTCTGTGTTTCAAAGCCAATATGTAAACGTACTAATAACTAGAGCTCCGAGCAGTTGTAGCTTAGTTTTACTTGAAATGTTTTTTGAACTGCGTAATATTTGCTGTTTGGTTACTGTCTTGATTTGTGTCGACAGCCATACCTGTTGACATAGAGAACAACTATGAGCGACGTAGATACCTGGCCAGCATGCTTCTACCTAATCATTCTGATGGCGGCAGGTAAATGCTAAATTCTATCATTCATTGTAAATCATGGGGAGCTGCCGTGGGCTAGCGGCTATATGCTCACCTACAGATCGGAAGGTTGTGGGTTCAGTTCCTAACGGGGGCAGGACTTTCTTCAAAAATGACATTGGCTCCCAGGTCGACCCAGCCTTGAGTGGGTACCAGTGGCAGTCCTGAGAAGTAAAGGCGGACAGCGTGATGCTGACCTCATCACCCAGCAAGTGCCGTTTGGTCTATAAAATAGAGGTCTAGCCCTATATACCCAATACACCTGAAATGCATGGAAAAGGGTCCTTGGCTTACTTTATTGTAATTCATGAATTAAAATATGCTGTCCAGACGAGCGCCTACTGTACATGAGGCTGGTTCCAAGCATGCTTGGTTCTCTGGGGCAGAGGCTGTCCAATGCAGAAAGTAGAACAAGAATTACCATGGCAACAGTGGCCTTCAACAAGATGCAAAAGATTCTCACAGCAATAAGATATCAGTTGCAGTGAGAACAAGAGTGTTCAAGTGCTATGTAGAACCTCTGTTGTTGTATGCATGCAAAACATGGACAATAGGCAGACAAGCTGAAAAACATTTACTAGCGGCCAAGATTTGATTCCTAGAAGAAAGCAACAAATATCCTGGACGGATAGAAAAGCAGGTGGAACAGTCCTCGTGGAGACAGATGAAAGTCACACACTGAACAGTCCTTCACTTTCACGACATTTAGATCGTGTACTATGGTCAATCTGAAGATGTTATGGACACGTTTTTGTCAGTAGGAACCTTCCTAATTTGGATGAAAATATCCCTCCAGAACTTCAGTAGGAATGGGCTCCAGAACTTGATAACACTGGCAAGATTGATGGAAGGAGAGCAAGAGGAAGGCAGAGATACACGCCCTGGAGGGTTTGGCAAGATAGATGGGGCGAGACCCAAACAAAAAACATTGAACTGATCCATGATTCTGGTGATGTATTAGGTGGTGAAACATGACAGCTATGCTTACTGGTATGGCACATGATGATGATGATGATGACTGACTGACTTCTTTACATGGGAAGTTGGCTAATTAAAAAAATACACAAAAATATCCTTGACTTGATTGATGGGGTCAATTGACTTGATTAATTGGGTCAGTTGACTTGATTGATGGGGTCAGTTGACTTGATTGATGGGGTCAGTTGACTTGATTGATGGAGTCAGTTGACTTGATTAATTGGGTCAGTTGACTTGATTGATGGGGTCAGTTGACTTGATTGATGGGGTCAGTTGACATGATTGATGGAATCAGTTGACTTGATTGATGGAATCAGTTGATTGATGGAATCAGTTGATGTGATTGATGGGGTCAGTAAATCTGTTATGATTTCCATAAAAATTAGGACTCAGAATCTACACTGGAAATTTCATTGAAAAAACTGGTATTAAATTTGCTTAAAAACTTCATGTAGAACTGAATTCAGTTTAGATGATCATTGTGCTGGAAACACATAATTAGGCATTTTGATCATTCCACAGTAGCTCATATATGCTTAAGTAAAGTGACTTTGATTGTTCATTCTTGATGGTGTCCAGTTTAAAGTTCACTGATTTGTCAGTGACTTGACCACCACTTGAACACGGCAGATTCAACAGAAATGGAGTGTGAGGATGTGGGTGTGGCTTACGTGGATCAGTTGATGTGATTGATGGGATCAGTTGATGTGATTGATGGGATCAGTTGATGTGATTGACCTCAGTGTGGGATCATGGGATTAGTTGATGTTAACCGTAAGTAGACTGGATATGATGGGATTTTGATGTGAATTCATGGGATCAGTTGAAATCAATTCACAAAACATTGAACCGTTAAGTAGACTGGATTGGGATCATTTGATCATCAGAAATCAATTCACAAAACATTAACCGTAAGTAGACTGGATATATTTGATCATCAGAAATCAATTCACAAAACATTAACCGTAAGTAGAACTGGGGATATTTTTGATCATCAGAAATCAATTCAAGGTTAAAGTTCACTGTTGTTAACCGTAGTAGTGACTGGGCTTACGTGGATATGAAATATATTTGAATCATCAGAAATCAATTCACAAAACATTAACCGTAAGTAGACTGGATATATTTGATCATCAGAAATCAATTCACAAAACATTAACCGTAAGTAGACTGGATATATTTGATCATCAGAAATCAATTCACAAAACATTAACCGTAAGTAGACTGGATATATTTGATCATCAGAAATCAATTCACAAAACATTAACCGTAAGTAGACTGGATATATTTGATCATCAAAAATCAATTCACAAAACAAAACATGTAACATTTGGAGCACTGTTCTGCGCAGTATTGATTACAAGCTTTGTGTTGCCAGTGCCAAACATGGATATAAACCAATGGCGGGGGAATCAAAACAGTAATATCTGGGATAAATCCTAAATGTATTTTGGGGAGGTAGGATAAGAAATTATATCAGAAAGAAAGTTGGTACAGTGCTTTACTGCATCAAGAGACAACAGCTCAAATGGTTTGGACCTGTGTCAAGACTACCACCAGATAGTAGACCACAGAGAGCCGTGTCACTTAGACACAGTGGAAGCAGAACTAGAGGCTGACCACACAAGCAGTGGATCGATGGAATATCTGTGGCCATAAATATCAGTATCTAGTAGCACATACCAAGACCCACACTTGATGCCTCTTCAAAACCTGCTGACGCAGAAAGACAATACAGAGCTAGAAAAGAAGAAATCAAAAAATTAGAGCAAATGACGTGGTTTGGTCATCTAAAGAAAATGACCTAATATCAACTGCAACAGAGAACCACACTAAAAAAAATACAATGGAAAGCAGGACAGGGTGAAAACCATGTAAAAGTTTGAATAAAGGCAGCGAAAAGAACAGAAAGACTGGGTGGTGGCTTATTACTTAGCTCCATAAAGGAAATGAAGAATAGTCATTCTGTAATCTAGTATGGTTGTCACAAAAAGCACCTAAGGAAAGTTGGTGGGATATGAGAATGTCTTCATCATCTCAAAGAAGTCATTCTGTGATCTGAATAATCAGATGTAACCAATCGAATACATTCTACCAATCCAGCCAATAGTCATGAACAATCTAAAAATAGTCAATCCCAATCTATGAACAGGTGATTCTGTAATCTAGTGGCCTATCATTCAAAATCTAGCGAATAGTCATGTCACCTAGCAAATAGTTCATTGCAGTGATCTAAAAGAGTGTTTGTAATCTAGCAAATAGTCATTCTGTAATCTAGTAGTCATATATGTACGTGAGGCAAATAGTCAATGTAATCAGAAAAGCATTGTGTAAAAACATGGTTGTCACTCATGGTACAGAGTGTGTGTTTATGAGAAGAATCTCCTCAAATGATAGAAAACATTGACTGCTGGCACAGATCCAACCAGTCTTGAGCAAGCTACAATCTCAACCATGACAAAAAAACATTCAATCCTCATGGCACAGAGTGTGGTTTCTGACGAAAAATCCACCCAAAATGAACAGAAAAAAATTGACAATCATGAACAAACTACAAATGTGGTTTGTTGAGAATTAATCCATTAAAAGTGACAGAAAAAAGTGGCCTCATAGCACATGACAAAATTTCCAAGAAGGTGTTTCATAAAATGACAAAAAAGTGTTTTAGTGCTATGTACAACCTGTGTTGTTATATGTACGTGAGGCATGGACAATGAGCAGACAAGCTGAAAAACATTGACTCATGGCACAGATGTGGTTTCTGAGAAGAATCTTATAAAATTACAGAAAAACATTGACTCATGGCACAGATGTGGTTTCTGAGAAAAATCTCATAAAATGACAAAAACATTGACTCATGGCACAAATGTGGTTTCTGAGAAGAATCTCATAAAATGACAAAAACATTGACTCATGGCACAAATGTGGTTTCTGAGAAGAATCTCATAAAATGACAGAAAACATTGACTCATGGCACAGATGTGGTTTCTGAGAAGAATCTCATAAAATGACAGAAAAACATTGACTCATGGCACAGATGTAGTTTTTGAGAAGAATCTCATAAAATGACAAAAAAACAAATGAGGCAGTTCCTCTTCAGAGAAACTGAATGATATACAAACTGTCTGTTTTTGGCTGAAGTGAATAGCAGTGTATCAATACCAGTCTGTAGACGGATTACGATGATGTTCTCATGTTTTCTTCTCTTACAGTTCTGGATGCTGCCACAGAGAAGACAGTCATTGGACAGATGAAAGTGACTGTGGAGTGTGTGGATGTCTTGAAAGAGGTTGAAGGAGAGATGCAGGTTGATGGAACCTACTGACAAAACACATTGACCAACTCACCAACAGTGATGCCTTGTCCCTGCAAGCCGTCCAGTTACTCATTCAGTGACAAGGTCTTTTCAAACACTGTTATTTTCTCCAGATTATATTCTCCCAGGAGAGAGCAGACTGATTTACTATTTCAGTCAGAGGCAGCTGCTTATTTAACTTGATTGTATTTACTCAACTATTCATCTCTTCGCTGTAAAAACTCCATTGTCTCCAGCTATATCTGATACCCCCACACTAGCCAACTGCAGGATGGAGACAGAAACTGAACCCACATCTTTCAGAAAACAAGTCAGTCAGCTTAACCACTTCACCACAGAGACCCTGCTGATCTGTGAGAGCCCAGTTGTTGTTGGCACCTCTCCATCTGTTGTTGGCACCTCTCCATCTATTGTTGGCACCTCTCCATCTGTAGTTGGCACCTCTCCATCTATTGTTGGTGCCTCTCCATCTGTTGTTGGCACCTCTCCATCTATTGTTGGCACCACTCCATCTGTTGTTGGCACCTCTCCATCTATTGTTGGCACCTCTCCATCTGTAGTTGGCACCTCTCCATCTGTTGTTGGCACTTCTCCATCTGTTGTTGGCACTTCTCCATCTGTTGTTGGCACCTCTCCATCTGTTGAGATGATAGTGTTATATTGTGCTGTGCAGAGCCGTGGACATCCCTGCCCATGGCGATAGCGAGCCAAGTGTACACAGTCTGCTCCTCTTAGATCTTTTCCTTCATTCTTTTCCTGATTGTCCCTCTCAGCGCAACACGGTTCTTGTCATTTAGAGAGCCCAATTATGTACCAGAAATACTGTTTGTGGAGTGGCTGGGAAAATATAGTTGAGATTTTTATTGTTGTCGTATGGTAGCCTATGATATCTTTACATTATTGTAACTTTTCAATTATTATGCTTAGTAAGTTTACCTTATGTATAAAAAAAATTTGAAATTTAAACAAAGTTGTTTACTTAATGATTTATCACATGGCAGGGGGTGGGATTAATTTTAGGTACACATCTACATGGGCACATTCTTTCAGTTGGCCCTAGCCCCCAGGTTGAACCCAGCCTGAAATGTAAAAGTAAGTCAAGTCAAGGACCCTTTCCCACACCTTTAGGCATATAGGGCTAGACCTATGTTTGTATAGACCAATCGGCACAAGATGGGTGATGTGGTCAGTATCATGCCGGCCGCCTTTACTCCCTGGGACTGCACCCGGTACCCCCTCACGGCTAGGTCGACCTGGGAGCCAAGGTCATTTTTGAAAAAGTCCAGCTCTGCCAGGGAGCAATCCCACAACCTTCCAATCCGTGGTAAGCATCTAGCCGCTCGGCCACGGCGACTCCCAGCCTGAAATTAGTAGAAGTTAATATCCTGTGAAGTATGTTGACCACACCACTCCCCCCCCCCACCCCCCCCCCCCCATCAAGAGCTGATTGTTGGTCTATACAACAATATAAGTCTAGCATGATATGCCCAGTGGCTGACCAGTGCAAGCAAGAGCTTTTACTTGTGGGTGAGACAAGAACACAGACCTGCTCTGTGGCTAAGTGATATGATAGTCCAAGACCACCCACAGTTATTGCCATGCACACGATGATGTTAGAAAAGCTCAGGTTGTACTGAGATGGCAGTATTCACATGCACTATTTTGTGTCATTCACAAATCTGAGATGCCTTAGAAATTGTCATCACTCAGCTGTTATCACAAATTTTTTTAGCGCAATAATTAGTTTCAAAAATAAATATTTGAATTACTTTTGACGCAATGTTTTTTTTTTAGTTGTGAGGTCAACTATTTGTTTAAATATTATTGATTTCGGTTGACCAAATGTTAGTCTCCCCACAGAAAGTAGGTCATGTTCCATTAATAACTATCTTGGACTGCTCTAACATGCAGGACATTATGGGTGTGCCGCTCTGTTGTTTGCTTTCTGGGATGTCTTGCATTAACTTTTTTTTATTCTGAAAAAAAGAATGCCTGTGACATAGGTTTGATCACTCTCTAAAGGGGTTTTGTGTTAGACCCAGTTTGTCCATGTGTTTGTTGTGTTAAAGACGCTGAAATATAGAAAGGCTTTGGGGAACACCCTCGTAAATTTGTGCCAAGGCCTGGTGGCTCAAGGTCAACCAATCAGAAGTAAGCTAGGCTGAAGGTGGATCAATCGGAAATGAGCTATGGGCGATCCTAGGGGAGACCAACATATCTGTTACCGTTCATTTCATCAGTTGTATTGGCTGTGGTGGATCTTCAGTACTTCCTGTGCTTTGTTGTTCTCTTAGATCTTGCTGCTGGTCATTGATGTTAACATCCCATTTGTTCCGTTGTTAACTTCTTGCCAGA